TTCTTCTGCAGAACACAAAAGTGTTGACATTTTTTTTCAAAATGTCTTACAATAAAATGACACAAACAGTTGAATCTGTCTTCTAAATTCATTGCAATTCAAACGTTAGGGTCAATAAGATTTTGTTTAAAAAAATAATACTTTAAATCAATTTAATACATTAAATTGATCAAAAGTCTCTGTAAAACTGATATTTCCATATATATATATATATATATATATATAAAAATTTGCTCCCTTGGTGACGTGGCAAAGGGATCTCATTATAATATTACCGCCCCTTAATCTGTAAGTTTACACCCACAGCGCCGTCATTGTGTTTTTGCAAGCGGCAACGGTGTACCAGCTCTAATGCCATGATGAAAGTTTGAGCAAAACATGCTAACTGTTCTGTCTTCGTCTGCACAGACGAGCACAGAACACTGTTTACAGTCCCAGCCTCAGCGGAGACAACAGAGCAGTGGATTTATTGATTTATTTACTGTATATTACTGCTGCCACACAGATCTAAAATAAACATGTGATTTATGTCCCAGCTGTTTACTTTCACAGACATAACCAACTGTTTTTGTAACTCATGTGTGATTTTAATGTAAACTTGTGTGAATGAGAACTTAGTTTAGTACTCACATGCTGTGACAGCCGCTTTCTGTCCGTGTGCTTCAGATGTGTGTGCTCAGAAAACCTTATATCAGAAGTTTAAACTAATATGGTTCAAAACGCATGATTTCAGCGCGATAAACATGATAATCAGAAGCACATGTTTTTAGCACTTAACAGGTACTAACTGTAGTGGCTCACAGCTCTATTCTGGAAAAGGGGGCGGGGAGCAGCAGGTCATTTGCATTTAAAGAGACAGGCCCGAAAAACAGTGTGTTTCTGCTTCCACTCAATCTGTGGAGTATTTTGAGCTGAAACTTCACAGATACATTCTGGGGACACCTGAGACTTATATTACATATTGTAAAAAGGGGCATAATATGTCTCTTTTAAGAAATGTTTTTTGAGCGCCAAATCAGCATATTAGAATGATTTCTGAAGGATCATGTGACACTGAAGACTGGAGTAATGGCTGCTAAAAATCAGCTTTGCCATCACAAGAATAAATGGCATTTTAAAATATATTAAATATATTAATATTAATATATTAAAATAAAACTGTATTTTAAATTGTAATAATATTTTACAATATTCTGTTTTTATTGTATTTTTGATCAAATAAATGCAGCTGCAATAAAAAATTACCGATCCCAAAATTTTGAAAGGTTGTTTATATTCTTGTGTGTTTCTCAGAAGAAAGTCACATAGGTTTGCAACAACATGGGGGTGAGTAAATTATTTTTAGTTGTTTTTTTCTTTGTTTGTTTGCAACTTCATTTGATGCAATGATGGCCATACTCCACCATCACAAACAAGATAATTTGGTGAATCAGTTTTTCAGTCAAATTACGCCACATCTCTTCCTGAACAATAGTAATAGCTCCATTCAATGAGTTTGGTGTCAAAATGAAATGTCATAAACATAAAAAAAGTGGTTGAAGCATATGGGTGAACAGCTGCATAGTAAGAGAATGAATAGTGAATATCAACAAAGTCATTGTCATTTCCTTTTCATATTCTTCACAAGTAATCTCAAACACACATAGAGTGGGTATAGAAAATAATCCCCTTCCCCTCTTAAAACAATCACATTTTGTTGCTTTGCAGCCTGAAATGAAGACGGACACAGTTTTTGTTTTATCCAGCTGTAACATCCAAGTGTAAGATATAACACCAAAAATACCCCCCAAAAAGAACAGAATCACTGAGTTGGAAAAAGGAAAACCCCATTGCGTCAATATTTTGTTGAACCACTTTTTGCTTTAATTACAGCCTTTAGTCTGTTGGGATGACCTCCTGATCCAGAGAGGGTCTGTGTTGTTGTACAAAAAACCTTCCAATCTTAATAGACTTCACTGTGCTTCTAGGCATTGATGAAGCCTTTGAATTTTTTTTGTATCCATCTCCTGACTTGTGTCTGTCCACAACTTTATCCCAGAGAGTTTGGACAGTGCCTTGCCACCCATAGTTGATTGTTTACTTCAGTTGCACTACCAAGGACTGAAATGCTCCAGGAAAGCTCTTTTCATGCTGAGCTGATCAAAATGACCGCAGCTGATCACAGTTGAAAGTCAAATGGCTTTGTGTGCCATTGAGAAGGTGATTAGCTACACCTGACTGAGTTTATAAGTCATTTTTTAAGAGGGGGTGATCCTTTTTTTCCAGCTCAGTGATTTTTATTTTTTATTATAGTGTATACTGTTATATCTTTCACTTGGATGTAGTAGGATAAAACTAAAACTGTCTTCATTTCAGGCTGCAAAGCAACAAAATGTGATTATTTTAAAGGGGGTGATTCTTTTCTATACCCACTGTAAAAACAAACTCTTCTGAAAGAGAAGCATTTTACTGATGTATCAAAGCTGACATTTAAAAACCTCACTTACACTTAGGCTTGGTTAGGGAACTGACTTCAGAATGAGCTTTGATGTAGTGTTGACAGAGCGAACGAGAGAGAGACTGTAAGTGTTTACTGGGTGAGCGAGTGTAATGCAAGAAGTGGAGCTGAGTTGGACATGGCTCAAATTCTGAACAAGAATAGTGTGTGTCATAGTTTGTGAGAATGAAATGAGCAGTTCAGACAGCAGAGCAGATCTGAGTCCATCAGTGTGTGTCTGTCCTTAGCTGGACACTCTCCTGCCTTGACTCTCTGACTTATCTCTGTCCTGTGAATGATCACAAATGATCACTATTGATATGTGAGTGCTGTATGCACTTGCGTGTTGCACATACAGTATTAATATACAATATATTATTTATTATTAGTGTTTTTCACACACACACACACACACACACACACACACACACACACATGTCCCACATAACTTGTGGGACACGTATGACTTATAACACAATAATAAATAACAGCTCTAATCCACCATAATGCTATAACAACCTTGAAAAGGCTGCTCTGTGAGCTGTAAAATAATATCTGTTAGCTCTTATTGGCCTTGAAGAAACAGTTACAATTGTAAAAAGTGGAAAGGACATTTTTCAAGACAGGGTAAGGAAATGTAAAACCCATCTTTCTTTTTAACTAGTTTTTCCTCTTCTGCTCCAAGGCTGCCTATGGCATCTGCACTCAAATACAGAAACACTTTTGTGCTATTTAGAAAGCAAAAGTAAAGGTCTCTGCTCTTCCAAATAGATAATCACAATAAACCCAGTTTTGCGGTTTTAACTAAACATTTGAGCAACATTATTTGATTAAAAATGAATAAATAATCATTCTAATAAGCTAATTCTTAGATTATTTTTTAACTAACAATGAACAACAGCCCCACTGGATGCAACAAATGCCTAGTTTGTAATGGGTTTTATTGGATTTGTCTCATCTAGTGATGTCCGGATCACGAACGAATCGTTCTATTTAACCGGGTCTTCTTAGTGAACCGGTCGAACCAGTTCACCAAATCGAACTGAATCGTTTGAAACGGTTCGCGTCTCCAGTACGCACTAATCCACAAATTACTTAAGTTATTCGGTTTATAAACATGCCTGACACTCCCTCTGACGCGAAATAAACCAATATCCCGAGTTATTCAGTTACTTCTAACAGTACATTGGCTGAACTGCTAAAAGAGAACCGATGATGGGATGTGCACGAGCAGAGCAGCTGGACTGAGTCTCGTCCTGCTGGGAGACGGCATCACAGTATGTTAAGGGGCGTAACATTTCTGTCACACGTTTGAGGTATTCGGCCAATCACAACGCACTGGATAGCTGGCCAATCAGAGCACACCTCGCTTTTTCAGAACGATGAGCTTTGTAAAAATCTACGCGTTTCAGAAAGGCGGGGCATAGAGAAGAAACAATTGTGTACATTATATGGAAAATAATGTGTTTTTTTTTACTTAAACCGCATAAACACATGGCATCACACCAAATACACAACATAATGTTCTTTTTAGCAATGTCATATGACCCCTTTAAATCTAGGATAATGCTTTTTAATAAATATATACTATTGTTAATTATGTTTGTTCATAATACATTAATGTTAAATAAAACTTGAAATGTAAAAAGCTATGTACAAATATATATATACATATACTGTAAAAGTATAATTCATGATACTTAATGTATTAACTAATATTAATAAATTGAACCTAACTTTAAAGTGTTACCAATAATAATGTTAAAAATGACAAATGCTTAGGCATGAGAGAGTACAGCACAGATTTAAAATACATGAATTTAAATTTTTTTATGATTTTAGTCAGACATTAAATAATAGTAAAAAATAAGCTGCAAGAATGAACAGGTACACAGGGCCATAAGACGGAGAGAGAAGCAAATGAAAGGAAAGTGAATGTAATTATGAGAGCTCACAATTATGAGAGTACATGGAACATTTAGACAGATGAGTCTGCAGCTGTGCCAGCTTGTCTAGAGCCCCTCCTCTCTCTTTCTCTCTCTCCACTGTGTTATTGGTCTGTGCCTCTGTGACAGCTGTTCCACTACTGCTCTCACCTCTTCTGCTGTATCCCTCTATTCACACAAAGCAAGAGGGGGAGAACAGATTTAAAATTTCTGAATTTAAATTTTTTTATGATTTTAGTCAGACATTAAATAATAGTAAAAAATAAGCTGCAAGAATGAACAGGTACACAGGGCCATAAGACGGAGAGAGAAGCAAATGAAAGGAAAGTGAATGTAATTATGAGAGCTCACAATTATGAGAGTACATGGAACATTTAGACAGATGAGTCTGCAGCTGTGCCAGCTTGTCTAGAGCCCCTCCTCTCTCTTTCTCTCTCTCCACTGTGTTATTGGTCTGTGCCTCTGTGACAGCTGTTCCACTACTGCTCTCACCTCTTCTGCTGTATCCCTCTATTCACACAAAGCAAGAGGGGGAGAGTGTGTGTGTGTGTGTGTGTGTGAGAGAGGGAGAGGATCACCTCTTCTGCTGCAGAGCTCCGTGCAGTTGTTCCTGTCTGTCTCTGAGTTGGCTCTGCAGGTGCCGGATCTCTCGTTGATAATTCTCCGCTTTCCCCGCAAAGTCCTCCTCCTGCTCGCGCAGACGCCGACCCAGAGTGCATACACTCGCTGATGCCTGCTGCTTGTACACCTAGAGCGGCCGTGAGAGAGATATGAGAACCGTTGCACTGGATAGCACTGAAGAACGGTGGACTATCACTTAAACTAAAAAAGAATCAAAGGAAAGCAAAATAACTCAAACAACCCTGGAGGAGCCAGAGAAGGAGACTACACAGCACGGTAAGACTAGAAAGAGAGCTTATATGTGTGGAGTCATGTTCATCTGTCTGGATTAGATCAAGTCTAACCAATGCAGTAAAGGTGACTGAAACTATTATTACCTATAAAGAGAAAAGCGCAGAAGAAAGGGAAGGATACTGAAGCAATGAAGAAGGTGTGAATTTACAGTTTAATACTTCAGATCGTATGACCTTTCTCAGGGAATAATTTACCCCAGGTTACCTTGTGGATGAAAAATTAACCTGTGCACACAAACACAATTAAGAATAAAACAGGATAAAGGAAATGCAGTTAATGTAGATGAATGAAGCAGAGATCTGCAGTGATATGTTGAACCGCAGACTCAGGGCAGATGCGTTATGGAGAGGAACAGATGTTGGCCTGTCTGCTGCTAAAACAGATGTGAGCTATTTAGATAAACAAACACGCACATTTGCACAGCTCCTGTAGTTTCCAGGGAGAGGCAGCCTGTTGATGTAACTCATCTTCATATAGCAAGAGGATAATAAGACAATTACAGCCACAAGAGTAAACGTGAATAGTCAGATATGCTCAGTCCATAAATGCCTCATCGTAAATATATGACACCGGGGAGGATATGAGATCTCTGAGAAGAAATTAAGTGCAAAGGAAAAACCAGGAGAGTGACAGATGAGTGGATGCTTGAGAGTTGTGCTCCTTGGTAACTGATGTTAGGCACAAACGTGATTTCCTTCAGAGATCAAAACCCAGAGCGAGGAATTCACAAATGATCATCTATTAATAACCGGGAAGATCATTTCCACATGCATGTAAACGTGAAAACATACACATGCGTTTAGAGCACTGATTAGCAATGGTAATGTCTTTAATGGACCTCCTGTGTTGTCAAATCTGTTTCAAGCAGAGAATGAGCATGTGTGGAGAGAGAGTGATTATGTGTGTGTGCGTGTGTGTGTGTGTGTTTGGAAGAGAAAGAGCTTTGACTGTACTCTGTGGGGTTTAAGAACACATAGGTCCAAGTTTTCCTTCACACATCGATCAATAACACTCCACACAAACATGCCTCAGGCAACAGCTCCTTCAGTGCATGTGTGTGTGAGCATTCAGTTACAGCAATTCAGACTCTCTCTGCTTGTCTGTTCCCTCTCTCTTCTTCCAAAACCTCAGTGAGATGCAGTGAGACTTTAGAGTTGTTTTGATCATGTCAAAGAGTATCTGAGCAGCCACCAGACAAACCACAAAACCATTAAAGGTGCACTAAGTAATATTTGAAAAACGCTTTTGACCACAGTGCCGGACCGAGTCCCAAAACACACTCGCTGCCAATCAGCAGTAAGGGGCTTGTCTAGTAATGATAGGGAGAAGAGAGCACTCAGTGAGTGCACAGGATGGATATTAGCAGATCGAGAGAAAAAAAAAAAGAGGAAAATCATTAAAAAGAAGGGTTACGATCAGGCGAGAGGTAGGACCAGCGTAAATATCGGAGCAGCTTTCCAGAGGTGCAGAGAACTCAAGGAGCGGGAAGGCCTGGAATGGGACGCTGAGGTTGCTTTGTTTCGTCTTGATAGGTGAGTTTACATTGAATTACCATAGTAACACACATCACTTTCACTTGTTTGTGACATCATACCCTCGTCTGGCAGGCATAGCAGATTCTGCCATCGTCGCTGCCAGGGTTGTGTACTTACGTGTGGGGCGAGGTCCTGTTGGGGTATGGGGCGGGTGTGTTTGTTTTGGTGCTTTCAAATATCAACATTGTTTGGCAAAATTCGCTTGGTGCACCTTTAAGGAGAACTGGAACTAATATTGAAAACAAATTTGCCAATATGAAGTGATTTCAGTGAGATTTGGGGGACTGCAGTGGGTGTTTTGCTAATGTGATTTCAGTTTGTGATATAATTTTATTTATATCATTGTGATGTATTGAATTTGAGTTTGTGATAACAGGCGTGGCTATACTGATTTATCCATGAAATTCTTACCATCAGGATAAGTCTGTCAGTTGGAGCTGTTAGCAGGATCATCCATTTGCAGTTTCTTTCACTTCTGTTTTAAGTTTTTCTGTCTTTGGAAAGTTTGGTATTCTCTTTTGCACTCTGCTGTTCCATACAAAACCTCTTCCTAAGAGCTCCTCAGGCATTTTATGTCAAAACTAGTGCTGCCAAAATGAATAGGCCCTACTCATGGCCATATTCTTTTAGACAGTGGTCAGAATGAGGCTAAACAATGTAGGGAATCCCTTGGGAAGTTCAACATGTCAAATGTAATTCAACCAGGGGTCAGATTCAAGAAAATCTTTTTTTATTCTTAAGGAGAAAATGACATCAAAACACCTCAAAGGCCATCTTTTTGCGCCCCCAGAAGATTATCGTAATTATCATAATAAGCAGACACACTATTTTCGTCATGGGAGTTCAGCTCTTGGAGTCACATTTTCCAATGTGTTATGTATTTTTAAAGAGCCTGTCTAAAGAGTGTTCTGCTGCAATCGTTTGCTCTCCGTCTCCTTAGCTCTCTCTAGAGTGAATGTGTCCTGTATCTGTGTACTTCTGAAAATGATACTTCTGAAAATAAAATTAAGAATGAGGTCCTTATTTAAAGTAGTTCTTGTATAATTGTTAGTGAATTTCAAATTCCGCAAAACGCATAATTGTGACCAGCCATTGTTTACATTAACAACTCAAATTCATGAAAGATCTTACATTTGAGAATTTAAGACAAGGTGTAGGTTATCCTAACTTTAAGTGGTTATTTACAATGAACATTTCAAATCATTATTCTCAAATTTGTCTTTAGAACAATCTTAAATCTTAAAAGATAAGAACATTTTTAAGAAATGTTTTTGGGAACACAAAATATTCTTAACTTTATTCTTAAGTTAGAAAATAAGAAGAAAATAGCAGTTAATAAGAAGATTCGTGGTGTTTTATTAATCTGGCCCCAGGTATACTTTTGAATATGAAAAGAAATGTAAAAGACTTTGGTTTGTAGTCTCTTTTCAGCTGACTAAGCTTCTGGGTTTAAGTTTCACAACTGATATTTCACCTCTTTCAGTAAAGGCAATAAACATTTACAATTGACAAAACTATTTGTACTGGTAAACTGGTGGTTTTTAATGAAGAAGACAAGTGTGGAATTTATGAGCTAAACCTCTTTAATTAGGCTTGTCCATCATGTTAGTATGGACAACAAGGAGGTAGTGACATCGGTGTAATATGACTCACAGAACGACTCCATCGTAACCATGGTGGTTGCCTGGAGACTCCTGATGTTGGAAAAGTTTTCATTAAGGCTCATGTTCACTGCAATCTCACTGCTGCTTTCCACCTGAATTTCATCCATCAGTCCAAAGCTGAACTGGAACATGACAAATTTAGCGCTTCTACTAATTCTGATATAATTTTCTTGCACTTTTCTATTCACAACATCACAGCATGATATTAAATAGATTTTTAAACACAACAAACAGAAAGTGTTTTGCCATTCTGTCGTTATTATATATAATATTTAACATATATATTTAGAAAATAACAGAATATTTAGATATACTCTACTGTTCAAAAGTTGTGTTTATTTGGCTGCATTTATTTGATCAAAAATATGGTAAATGTAATATTATGAAGTAATTTAAAATACTGTTTTCTATTTTAATATATTTTCAAATGTAATTTATTTCTGAAATGGCAAAGCTGAATTACTCCAGTTCTCAGCGTCGCATGATGCTTCAGAAATCATTCTAATATGCTGATGTGGTGTACAAAAAAAAAATTCTTATTATTTCTTCTTAATATTTGTTGAAAGCAACTGTGCTGCTTAATATTTTTGTGGAAACCTTGTGATTCAATTTTCTAGCCTCAGTATTTGAGGAATAGAAAGTTCAAAAGAACAGCATTTTTTTAAATAGAAATCTTTTATAACATTCTAAATGTCTTTACTGTCACGTAGTGTATCTAATAATCAGAGAATGGAAGTAAACACTGTTCAGTACTTGAAAAGTGGAGATTAATCATAATGAGCATGGAAGCCAATGCAGTAAATGAACTTCTGTTTTAAGAAGTGTAGATCAGCATATGACGTGTCAGCTGAGATCCCTAATGTGAAGACTGCTGTTATTGGGGTCCCTGACATGCAGTAGGAGGTCAAGACAGTCTAAGTGACTAAAGTAGTCAAACTAAATTGTGCTTTTGAATAGGGATGCTCATTTCGGTTAATTTTCCTGACCGACAACCGCCACTCATTATCTGAACATTAACCGTTAACTGAGAAGATTTGAATATTAAATTAGTATTAAATAAATAACAGAATGGGCGTGTGTCTGTGACCCATTAAAAATACACCAGCAGCGCTTCTGAGAACAAAAGAAAAACAGAATAAAATAATATAAATAAAAATAATTAAATAAATAGGCCTACACAAAATATTTTTCACTTAAATAATTAACAAATTAAGATGATCTGCCGCATTGAGCATTGTAGCCAATCACAGACATATCTGTTGATTTCATGAACGCAGTGGCCAATCAGAGGTGTTTACATTAGAATCCACTCATCGCTCATAAAGCAGGAGTTTTGTTCAGTGTTCGGAGTTGTGCGCACTCGCAATTCCTGTTATTAGAACAAACAAACTGTACACACGATGTAAATAAGAGATTAATTGTACAGTAGTGTAGCGCTTCATTGAATATATCGGACCTTTGTGAGATCGCGAAGAACCAAGATGAGTGACAACTTTTTAATGATTATAAGGGGGAGCACTCTTTGCGCACTTTCTAAGCTATAACCCATTCAGAACAATTTATCCAATATTGCCTTTTTCCATTGTGTTGCCTTTACTACTTCAGTTAAGTGAAAGTGCAGGCGCTTGCGCAGCAAAATATGTCTGTAGGCCCGCATGGCTGCACGTATATTTTTCTTCAACAGTGCAGCAAACTTGGGGAAAAAAATACTTTTAAAACCTTTTAAACCATTTAACTGTTAGTATTAATTCAAAATTCTACGCCGGATCGACTTTCACCGTGGACGAAGCGGAGTCCAGCACGGAGTCGTCACATGTCCTTCCGGACGCTCCTTCATCAAAATCGCTGGCCGCGCCATTCTCAAGCCCGCCGCCTCTGCTCACCGTTCCCGGTGCGACACTCAATCGCCGTTTATAGAAACCATAGGAATAAATGAGAAGTGCTGTAAGCTGAATCCCACCTGTCGCACAAAATCTGTGACTTCTCTTATAAAACAGCATTTTTTTGGGGTGTAAACTCAAAACAGTTCAATTAGCCAATAGACTGTCAATTCATTAAATGATAAGTTGTTTCCTCTAAAAAGCTGTTTATTCAATCCTAATTGTGCAGAAGGCTGACTGTTTCTATAGCAACCGGAGCTTCTAAAAGCCGCCTCTGCTCACCGTTCCCGCCGTTCCTCACGCTAGCCCCTGGCCTCTGCTCACTGTAGGCCGTGGTGTGTGACGCTGTTTCGTTGTGAAAGCTAAACTACTTTGTTTGGCCTTCCAAAAATGGACACGACTAGTCCAGCGACGCGATCATAGATATGTATACGTAGATGCCTCATTCAACAGCTCCAAGCACGTAGACGTGTCCGCCATCTTTAACGGTGAGCTTGACGTCATTCACCATAATAATTAATGAACATTCGAAGACACCACAATCCTGCACAGCCGATGGTTGTAAAAACCGCCAGGATTTAACCCTTGTGCGACCTTTTGGACATTTATTTGGACAAAAAAATATGTGTGTGTGTGTTCTTGTAATATTTGAGAGAGAAAAACTCTACTGCAAATCACAAATCCAACCACTGTGTGCCCCAGCAGAGTTTTGCTGGCATCTAATGGGGTAAATTTGGTACTGCGCCCAAAAAAAATCTTACTGAAAGCTCATTTTTTGAGATATCAACCTCAAATTTGGAATACAACTTGTTTAGATTTATGGCTTTGATTTTCTAGAAGGTATAGAGTTCAACATGTTTCATAAAATATATATTTATATAATACATCGTTTATACTGTGCAGACCTCGCTGCAAGATGAATTGTCTCATGCTCTTTAAGATGACAGTAAGTAGCAAAATTGGAACAGAACAAGCGAGAAACACTTTCTCACTGCTGTGCTCAAGCTGAAAATACAGCACAAGAGAGTGTGTATGTGCAGCCTGAGCCTGATACACAGATTAAACATCTGTGAAATGACACATGATTATGAGAAGAAAACAGGTAAACTTGTGATCTAATGATTTTTAATCTCAGTAATCACTATCATAGATCAATAAAGAGTTGTATGAATAGCTAGAATGAAAAAGAGCACTGAATGTCTGTCACTGAGGTATTTCTTAATTTGTACCACTTTGTGATTGAAATGCAGCAGACTGTTATTTCCCGTGCTCTGAATCTCTATCCTGAAAGTACAATAATTAAACATGTTACATAGACATTACTGCCTGTTTATAAGATTTGCTGTCCAACTTAATGAGGTAAATGGTCACATTCAATACACAAGGATGCAGCATTATATTATTACAGAAAGAATGATCATATTAAATGTCACAGTTATGAGATGATGAGCTCAGTCTGGTTTATTGAGAACATGAACTTGGCTGAAAATGTGGATTTATTTGGTTTTGGGGTAGACAGAGCCACCAGTCTCTTTGGTTTAACCCACTCAATGCCAGAGCTTTAATCATTTTCTCACAGTATGAGAATTAGTGTGAGTCTGGCTTCGGAAAAAAGGATTGGTAATGCAGGATTTCAAACCACAGCCCTGAGTAATGAAATATTAACAAATCCGCACGTGCCTTAAGAGCAGATCCCAGCATCCAGTGAGCTTCCCTTTATAGCTCACTATTCAGAAGGTATTCATAATCATCATCTATAAATGATTGAACAGAGCTTTAAATAGCATTGCCTTTATTGTTAAAACAGATAAGCACTCACAGTCTGTCTTTTCTCCCTTACTCTCACACCTTGTATCTTACATATACAAGATGGTCTAAATAATAGAACTGACTTTGAATTCTCAGGTCTCTGGAGAGCGAGATGAATGAGGCGACTAAATTCAAGAAGTCTACGTGATTGCACTTGAAAGCTACTTAATGAACTGTGTGTGCTGCTGTATGTGACGTAAAGGACTCTTGCTGACATCTTTCCAATAAGGAGCTTTGATTCACACACTGTACATCTCCTGGAGTATGATTAGACTAGAGATGCTAAGTGAGTGACATCAATGCTTTATTTTATCTTAAATAGAAAACACTCAAGACATTTTCTAAGTAAAGCACTATTCTAATGCTTTATTTTATCTTAAAGGGATAGTTTCACCTAAAAATTTATCAGGATACTTCACACCAGCATTTGGTGGGAAGGAAATGTTGTAGACTGTCCAGCAGGTTGAAACATGAAGGCAGGGCTGCCATTTAGCCAGTAGTACACAACTGGCTTTTCAGTGACCAGCACAACTTTCAGTATTGCTAACAATTACTCTGTACTTGAGTAATGGCTCCTGAAAATTCAGCTTTGTATCACAGAAATAAATGACATTTAGAAATATATTAAAATAGAAAACAGTTATTTTTATTTATACCAATATATCACAATATTGCTAATAAAATAAATGTGCATGACTCCTCCAACTGCTTGGTCATAAGTTGCCCCCCAGCGTTTGAACTTTAGTGTAGGTTGGAATGGGTTGGTTTTTATGGGCATATGTGACATCACTCAACTAGCTTAAGCAAACAGCAATACAATAATTAAACTGTGTTCCCTATGTGTGCTGACAAAACCGCAGTGCCTGTGTTTGCTTCATTGTGTGAGTACAAGCTTTAATATCCAGTGGGACTCAGCAATAACAAAAGACCATTTTATTTATTTGTGAACTCGGCAGTCTGGACTGCTACATTTTCCTGTTAACTATCAACTGTTAGTTAGAGAGAACAGGAAACCTGTAGTCAGGCTCACAGCAGTCTCACACATAATTACAAGGAAACATGAAATCATCTCACTTAAAGAGCAGCTCAGAAATGTTCTGTAGGGTTAATGTTTCCATGAAGGTGAAAGAACAAGGTGCTAAATCATAAACAGAATTAATATTACCCCATGATTTACTCACCCTCAAGCCATCCTAGGTGTATGTGACTTTCTTCTTTCAGAGGAATACAATCAGAGTTATATTTAAAAATGTCCTGGTTCTTCCAAGCTTTAGAATGGCAGTGAATGGGGGTTGAGATTCAATAGTCTAATAGAAGTCCAATAAAGTGCATCCATCCATTAATAAAAAAGTGCTCCACACGGCACCGGGAGTTTAAATAAAGACCTCCTGAAGTGAATCATTGCATTTTTGTAAGAAAAAATCCACATTTAAAACTTTATAAACAGTCATCTCTAGCTTCCGCTAACTGTCGAAGGTGTGTTCACGAGAGAGTGGCGTTCCAGCGGATGATGTATGACGTAGGAGTAACGTAAGGTCCGGTGAGAATATGCTAGTCTCGTGAGCATCTAGTTTTGTTTACAGGTGCAAAGGAAGCAAATGAAAACTAGTCTCCTCTTGACTTACAGTATCTCACAGAAGTACACCCCTCACATTTTTGTAAATATTTTATTATATCTTTCCATGTGACAACACTGAAGAAATTACACTTTGCTACAATGTAAAGTAGTGAGTGTACAGCTTGTATAACAGTGTCAATTCTCAAAATAACTCAACACACAGCCATTAATGTCTAAACCGCTGGCCACAAAAGTGAGTACACCCCTAAGTGAAAATGTCCAAATTGGGCCCAAAGTGTCAATATTTTGTGCGCCCACCATTATTTTCCAGCACTGCCTTAACCCTCTTGGGCATGGAGTTCACCAGAGCTTCACAGGTTGATCCTCATTTTGTACTTCTAATTCGTGACCGGTGTTTTGTTTCGCTTTTTGCTCTGCACTTCCATGTTCGTCACTTCTCACCGGAGCTTACGCTACGCCTACATCCTACTGTAACACCACTCTCTAGTGAACACGCATACGACATTTAGCGGAAGCTAGAGATTAAGGTTTATAAAGTTTTAAATAGGGATATTTTTCTTACAAAATCGCATCAATTCACTTCAGGAGGCCTTCGTTAACCCCCCAAAGCTGTGTGGAGCACTTTTTATTGATGGATGGACGCAGTTTATTGGACTCCTATTGGACTATTGAATCCCAACCCCATTCACTGCCATTCTAAAGCTTGGAAGAGCCAGGACATTTTTTAATATAACTCCGATTGTATTCGTCTAAAAGAAGAAAGTCATATTCACCTAGGTTTGAGGGTGAGTAAATCATGGGGTAATTTTCATTTTTGGGTGAACTATCCCATTAATGTTAAAACCTCTGTAAAGGTGTAAGGCTTATGTATCAAAGGAAATATTCTGATACATTTCTCAAAACGGTGTCTGCGTTTGCTCACTTTGCATAGTACTGCTTTATTTATGTAGCACAGATATGTATTAAAGTCGGCATGAAATGGAAGTTGTGATTGTCTTTTCTTCTCTACTGTGACGTCTATCTGAGTGAAACAGCATCTGAAATGAGAGGGCGGGACTTGATTGGATCGTTGGAAGTTGGGGCATTGCTAACAAAATGGAGGCAGATCTGAATGCTAGTTTGCAGTCAATTGTGGGGGATTTCGCTCCACCGGTTTCACCGCCGACACCCTTGCATGAGTAATGCTAATAAAATAATAAAATAATCAGTGACGCTGTCTACACTGGCGCGACACGACACGCCAAATCCCCAACAGTAAACTGATGCCTTGTTCTATTTATGATGTATTGACACAAAGTTAAAATGATTTGCAATGGCCGCTTTGTCACGTCCAGTGTAGAGCTATTGCGGAGCAACGCGACAACTGTAGCGTCCGGTATAGACACGGTGAGTGAAGCCGAGAGCAAGATATGCCTCGTCATATTTTCTGCATTTAGCTTTTGAATGGTCAGCACCTGCCTGGGTCTGTGCGACTTCATCTATGGCTTTTCTCTTCCCTTTCACAAACCGATCCATCTTCTATTCTAAGTTACGTCCTTTGGCTGTTTGGCTGGCCCGCGCCCCCCCTACAATACTCGTGCACCCCCCCCGGCGGGTGCGCCCCACACTTTGAGAACCACTGCACTACAGTATTCCATTAAGAAATGAGAATTGTCCCTTTTGATTTCATGATGACTTTAAATATTAGTCTATGTCTTTTTTTAGATGTTTGTCATTATGACAGAATCTCTGTCTGTTGAGAGAGTATTCCAACACTAGTAGTGTTGTCTCAAACATGCGATTTTATTTTAGAATAGAAAAACACTCCAGAAATATTCTAATTACTCAACTGTAGATGAATTATGTGCTAACTGATCCTTCTACTAATAGATTTTACAAGGAAGACTACTGCGTCAAGTACACGCCAACATATTACTCTCCTGAGTGATATAAAACAGCTTATGTAACATTTATAATTTATAAACCATGACATTCATTAGGTCCCCATTTCGATGCTTTTTGTGAGATACAATTACAATGACAAAATTGATTTTATCCATTTAAGCTACAAATGAGCTCTTTATATTAGATTTGAAATGTAAGATGTTAAGAC